GCCCTTTCGTTAGGTGCAGTTGCTGGGTGGGATATGCCCCGGCCACAGCTAATTGGGCCGGCACTGACAGCTTTCTTCTGGGTTCAGATGAACTCAAGTTCAGAGCGAACCTGAGCTCATTTCTTATAATCACCTCCTTCCCAGTCACAGAAGCTGTCCCCTGCAGGACATTCTTTTCACCACTAGATGTCCTACGTCTTCCAGGTTTAATGAGGCTGTGCACTTTGCGTCATTCAACCTGGAAGACTGAGGACATCCTGTGAGTGATGTCCCTGTCCCTGTAGGGGTCGTCAGCACATTGCCCTACACTCATACTATACTAATGCAGAGAATGGCACTGACGTCTTCCTTTCTTGGAGTTTCAATCAGAAAGAGAGAGTCTGAAGTCAAACAGCATCTTCTGTCCTTGTAGAAGACCCATAGAGCTCAGTGTCATAGGGGCTCCCTGTCTTAAATGCTTTATTGTAAAACAAAGATTTTATATAAATAGTAAAATCTAGTGGCCATAATGCAGTATTACGTTACATACATTCGACCTGAAAAGAAATATCTAAGAATGTTCGTTGTTGCATCTATTTGCACGGAACGAACGTTCAGAAAGATTCGTAAGGAAAATGTCTCTGTGGACTGATTATAAATAGACCCCTATGTGTTCTTTTTGTATTTCTTCCAGATCTTTGTAGTAATCCAGACAAATCCATTATTTTGACTGTATGCATGTCACAGTTCAGCTGCAGACTTGCAGCAGAGCTGTTACTTGTAGTTCTACAAGTATATACATACCTCTTACCCCTGGTTCTGCAGGCATGCAGGGCTGTGCTGGTGCTTGTAGTCCTCCAGACATGTGCTCTGAACCTGACTCAAGGCCGTGACACACTGCACGCGAAGCAGCGCGGAGCAGTGGCGCGCTGCCTTTGCGAGCAGTGTGTCATGTCACTTTCTTCTCAGCACCTCAGCTTGCGAGAGCTCGCAGAGCTGAGCGTGCCGAGATGAACAATTTCAACTTCAGCCAATCGGCTCGCGCGTATAAACCGGCGCGACGGGATGCGACGTCTGGCCGGTTGTTACAGACGAGCCGATTGGCTGAAGGTGCAGTCAATCATCTGACTGCACTCAGCTCACACACTGCACGCGAAGCTCCGTGGCGGATAGCTTTGCTTCGCTCTGCACGGCTTCGCGTGCAGTGTGTCACGGCCTTCACTCTTGCACCTGTCTGCAAGCTTTAGGCGTCGGCCGACCTCTCCTGCTGTTTCTTATGCAGCTTCTTGGCCAATCAGTGCAGTCTGCTTGTGGCCAATCCTGTGGATCCTCACTCTTCCTGTCTCTATTTAAACTCAGGGCAGCGAAAGGCACATGGCCCGAGCAATGCTTTCCTAAGCTAGTTGCTAAGGCCACCATTTGTGATTTACCCTGAATACCTGGAAGTTTTCCCGTGTACCGAACCTTTGGCTTGTCCTTGGAAATCCCTGTCTACTGGCTGCACTGTGCTTCCCTTTTGTCCTTGGAAATCCCTGGCTACAGTCTACGCTGTATTTCACTTGGTCCCTGGAAGTCTTCAGCCTGTCCCTAACCTTTGATTTGTACACTGTACCTGTTAGGTGAGTTGGGTGGACCTAGGGATTGTGACCTGGGGTCAGCATGCAGCCAAGCCCATCTCCACCATCAGGAGCTCTGGCGAATACCGGCTGGCTCTTAGATTCCACATCCTGTGGGACCCCTGCCACCTACTCAGCATTGCAGAACCCTGCCTTGTATTTAAACTTCCAGCTTTAGCTGACTTCCACTACCTCATTCAATTCCCCTGCTGGTACTCCAGCTCTGGGAGTCATCGGCCTACACTGCTTGGACCCTTTTCTCTGAGGGTCCCTGCCAGTGTAGTGGAAAGGGTCCACATACCGGACTCCAGCTCATACCTGTGAGTCCCAATCCATGACAATGCAGGGTTGGAGCTTCCTGTAATAAAGACCACTTACTGCTGCTCTCTCTTCTTGTACAAGGTGACTGGTCTTGTAAACCCCCCCCCCCCCCCCCCCCTAGTTTCCTGTAGTAGGTGGGGTCTGTTGGGCCCCTCCCACAACTCTGCTCTCTGCACAGGCTATGTACAGCACAGTGATGATGCCACTGCTACTTTTACAAGGTAATGTCTGGGGTTACAATTCGGCATTCGGTGCACACAAGGTGGATCTGGAAATACAGATTTATATTGTGGTTTTGAATGTAGAAACCCTTCACATATCAAGAGACACAGAGCTGCGTTCTATCTCATTTTTGTATCACTTCTGCGTGTTACCACTTGTACAGAACGCTGCAATCCATACGTCTCTCCAGGAACCATGAGGAATGTGACCCTGTACACCCCCACGTACAAATCCCCCCCACCCACACACATACATATCACTTCCCGACACTGACACACGACTGACTCACTGCAACATGATAAATGGTATCAATATATATATATATTTCTCCTTTTATACAGTAAATGTAGAAATTTGTTTGATGTCACATCAGGATTCACTTCCCGCACCGTCCAGCGGTCAGGAATTTCTGTACAGAGTCTGTATATCGCTGTGCATACATTCAGCCCACGTGGCTCGGGGTGCACATTTGGCTCCCAGTGATGTTGCTCGCAGTAGCCTCCTCTGAAGGTCCTCCAACGTCTTATTGTATAAAACAAGCAACGGCTTCCCTGCTGTACATTTAGCTCTGCTTGCCCAAAGCCGGGCTAAATGTAGAGAACAACTACTAGCCCAGTGCCCGGAACTGCATGTCCCGGGAATTGGCAGATAGGAATTCCACACCCCTGCTGCCCCCTCTACTCCCTGCTCCCCCGAGGCCAGGCCTTGGGTGGCCTTGTGGGTAATCCGGCCCTGCTTATCTATAGATTTTTTTTTTTCCTTGTTAGCAGCTGAGACAGTGTCATATTTCACATGAAGGGCAGAGGTGTTTAGGGCAGCTCAGAATTCAGGAAGAGGTCAGGAATGTTTTACGAAGCTAAGCAGGGACTTACATCTCATTTCAGTCCATAAAGGTTGGAGGCAAAGAAAGATACCTTGTACACCCAGGTATAGTGAAGCAAGTGGCTCACTGTCCTTACGCCCACCTGACTGCACTGGTGCTTGCTGATTGGCCCAGAGCATTCACATGGGGGCAGGGGGGGGGGAGTTACTCCACCCTGTGTAAGCTCCAAGTCATGACTCAGAGTTAACAGAGGGGTTCCTCTCTTCGCTTTTGGGAGCCAAATGGAGCAGTGAGGGTGCAATGGGAAAGTAGGTATCAGCAGCTAGTTGGGATGCCATTAATGTGAACCTGCTGCACAAGTCCACTGTAAGGGTAAAGCACTTGGGCAATGCTAACAACCTTTTTTTTTTAACATTATAAGTCATTATAACTGCTTCAAGTGGGATTTTCTCTCACTGGAGTCCCTCTATAACATTATTTTAGAGTGCTATACTTTCATCCTTCACGGATCATTCTACCCAAAACTGACAACTTTGGCTTTGGTAGCTGCTGGAGAGTTAATCCCCCTAATGTTGCCCTTTCAAGTCATCTTATTGCACTACTGCACCCATTGCAGCAACGCATGTTGGAATCATTGGTGCAATGCGGTGCTATTCATTCAGGCAGTGGCTTGCATTGTGTTGCCATAAAATGGTGCATGCCCAGGTGCCGACGCATTTAATGTACACTACCACGCATTGGGGACATGTGCATGTTACTGCACAAAATAGTATAGATTGGCCCGAAATCTCAGGATCACGGCACCTCGGTTCCCATCAGACACATGCGATTCGTTCAGTTCCGAATCAAAATTCGGACAAATTTTCCTAAATTCGGAATTTGGACACATCAGAATTTCTGAATCCCAAGGCATCTGAATGTGTCTGAATTTGCGTTTCCGAATTTCTGTTCCCGTCCGAATTTTGTTAAAAAACTAAACTGAATCGGACATGTGACTTTTCTGGCCAGTCAGATGTGTTTTTCGGTTTAATGCCAACGAATGGGTCTGTACATGAATTTTTGTAACGGCAACATGGGAGCCATATACAGTATACTGTACATATAATACTAAAGCTGAATCTCCCAGACACCAATGGCATTCGGCATCCGAATTTCCTAATGGCATTTGGCAGCTCCCAAATGCCATTCGGGTCTGGGAGCCGTATATATATATATTACTAAAGCTGAGGCTCCCAGACCCGAAATGGCATTCGGGAGCTCCTGAATCCAATTCGTAAATTCGGATCCCGAATGGCATTGGGGTCTAGGAGGAGATTCAGCTTTAGTATTAATATCTGTATCTGGTTTTCTGTGGTATTCGCAACGAATATTCATAAACTCATCCGAAACTAACGAAAATACGGATTTTGGCCGAATACGAAACCCGAACCGAATTAAGTTTCAGATCCGAATCCCGAAATATCCAAACCGAACCAAATTTTTCCGCAACTTACATGTCTAGTTCCCATCTGTGGCTGTTTTGAGTTGATCCCTCTCTCAAGTGATGACAATCCCCAAAACTTCTACAGCTGCCAACTATGGCAGAAAAATCTCACCACCAGGTATTCCAAGTCTAAGAAAGAATCAGGATGTGGTTCAGCGACCAGACATCACCGAATAACCAAAGCATTAGTTTTGGGTGGACTGCCATTGAAGGCTTATTCAATATGGCGCTGAGAGCAGGAGCAATGATTGGTAAAGTGCAGTAACATGTAACAGGCGGACATATTGTCCTATCAGTCATAGAAACATTCTGATTGCTTGTTGCATTGTTCCGAGCCTCATCTCTGCTTTCAGTAGCGCAGCACACGCTGGAGAATGCTGGCCACCTCCGAGGAGCTGCGGGCAGAAATGTCTCTTGGCTCTGAAATGTATACGAGTCTCAGGGTTGGCACTGCAGTGTGTTTGTGAAAGAGATTAAACTTTCAGCCTGAACCCCATTGTATCCTCAGCGATCTCTAGTGATCTCTAGTCCAGTTCTGCAGAACCGCTTTGTCACCTCCATCCTCACACTGAGGTTCTCCACACTTCTTGGTGCTTTTTCTGGGCACTTAACAGTTTGTGAATGTCTCTGGGCTGTCGGGACGTGGAGGGGCACTGACCGCCTGTGAGTGATGTCGCCGCAACATATCGGAGATGTGGAAAGCCTAAAGACAAGATGATTCCATTAATTTCATTTATGACAACAATTATAATAATAGTAATAATAATAATAACTGTAGTGACCCCTCACTTGAGGGTTAGTTTGGAAGTGACTACCTAACATTGGTGATTGGTGTAGAAGTGACCCCTTACATTGGTGGTTGGTGTAGAAGTGACCCCCTTACACTAGTAGTCATTGGTGGTCAAACTCTGGTTACTTCTTACTTGAGGGTCAGTGTTGAAGTGACCCCTTAGAATGGTGAGGGAGTAGAAATGAAGTAGATGTGGAAGTGGCCGGGTACAAGTGACACCTTACACCTCTTACACTGGTGGTCAATAGTGGTCAAACTGTAGTGACTCCTTACTTGAGGGTCAGTGTATAAGTGACCCCTTACATTGATGATCAGTGTAGAAGTGACCCCACACATTGGTGGTCAGTATAGAAGTGACCCCTTACATTGATGGGCAGTGTAGAAGTGACCCCTTACATTGGCGGGCAGTGTAGGAGTTATCCCTTACAATGGGGATCCGTGTAGGAGTGACCCCCTTACATTGGCGATCATTGTAGACGTGACCCCTTACATTGGCGGGCAGTGTAGAAGTGACCCCTTACATTGGCAGTCATTGTAGAAGTGACCCCTTACATCGGTGGTCAGTGTAGGAGTGACCCCTTACATTGGGGGGCAGTGTAGGAGTGACCACTTACATTGGTGGTCGGTAGAGGTGTCACCCCTTACATCAGCTTTAGTCACTGTCAGGCATTCCAAACACTGTCAGCATATAATAGCCGACACACTCTACATAGAGTCAAGGGATTTTTTAAAAACATCAACACATATTGAAACAATTCCTCACATGAAGCTTATAGTTTAGCTAAAAAAAACCTTCAAGAAGACGGTATACTTCCTTCTAACAGTCTCTCCAGGCTTTATGTGTACAGTTCTGGAATCCCAATAGCTCTTTTCCAGGTTAACCTCGCGCGGCCCATCCTAGCTCAGGGAACATCCTTTGTGTAGACCCAAACAGGATACACAGACGTTTCCTGATAGCACCTCCCCCAGCAGTTCACAGCCGCCTCAGACCCCAACAGGGAGGAGAAGTCACCCATTCTTCATTTACAGAAGATTTCCTATTTCCCACTCTCCCAGAAATAACCAGGACAAAGGGACAGGGCGGGGGACAGTCCCATCTATGTTTAGGTTTTACCTAAAATTGTCCATAACCACTTATCTGTCTGTTGCACGTATTGTGTAACATTCGTGAGAGCAACACGTTCTTCAACTAGAACCATCCTGTGTCACTGTTTGTCTATAAACTTCTGATTGGCTTCTGACTTTCCACATCAAAAAAATGAAGTTCTGCTGCTATTTTTGAGGGCTCATTCAGCACTATGGTGAGCATTGGGGTGGCGTGCAAATTAATGGGACTGTGGTTCTTCCTTAAACGTGCGGTGAAACGTGTTTTGCTAATTTGTTGGTAGAGGTTCTCATTAATCCAGGTCAAGGTATGTCTAGTAGTAGTTAGTCAGATTCAACTGGACTTGTTCTGTAATGGTGAAGAGTAGGGATGCACTGATACAGGTTTTTCGGTATCGAGTACCGATATTTTGCTTTCAATACTTGTGATACCAAGTACCGATACGGCTGCTTCCGCTGGCATGGAGTCGGCTTCCTGGGCAATCTGATTGCCCGACAAGCTGGCTCCATGTTGTTTGGCTGGCTGGGAAACCTGCTTCCCAGACAATCAGCATCGAACCGGCTTCCCCGACAATCAGGAATCCGGGCGGCGAGTAATGACCCGCCTCCCGGTTTCCTGTTTGGCCGGGAAGCCGGCTCGATGCTGATTGGCTGGAAAGCCGGCTTCCCAGCCGATCAGCATCGAGCCGGCTATTCGGCCGGCTTGAATGGCCGGGAAGACGGCTTTACGGTCACTCAGCAAGGAGCCGGCTTCCCGGACAATCAGAAAAGCAACATCTACACCTTCCATGGTGATTGGATTGCGGTGTTGTGCAACCTGTGGCTATAAATGCTGGGGTACCTTCCTGGCACCAAGGATGGGCTTATGTAGCTAGAACAAGATGGTTCCACCGCTTCCCACCTCCCCTCCTGGTCTTGGACAATCAACATCTACACCTTCCATGGTGATTGGATTAAGGTGTTAGGCTACCTGTGTGGCTACAAATGATGGTGTGCCTTCCTGGCACCAAGGGAGGGCTTATGTAGCTGGAACAAGATGGTTCCACCGCTTTTCCCACCTCCCCTCCTGGACAATCAACATCTACACCTTCCTTGGTGATTGGATTGCGGTGCTCGTCTACCTGTGTGGCTATAAATCCTGAAGTATGTACCTGACACCAAGGGTAGGCTTATGTAGCTAAAACAAGATGGTTCCACACCTTTCCCACCTCCCCTCATGGTCTTAGACAATCAACTTCTACACCTTCAATGGTGATTGAATTAAGGTGCCGGGCTACCTGTGTAACTATAAATGCTGGGGTATGTACTCGACACCAAGGGTAGGCTTATGTAGCTAGAACAAGGTGGTTCCATACCTTTCCCACCTCCCATTCTGGTCTTAGGCAATCAACACCTTCCATGGTGATTTTTTAGGGATGCTGGGGTATCTACCTGTATGGATACAAAGTCCGGGATATCTTCCTGACACTCACAAGAACTGAGGAAGCTCCTTGGAGAAGCTACAAAACATCAACAGTACAGAACAAGTCCAGTTGAACGTGACAAACTACTTCTAGCCATTTGTTCTGCTCTGCATTACAGGTGTGAATGGGCCCTGAAACTTGTATTTAGATTGTGAATCCAGTTCTAAAATTTCTAATTAATTTGTAAATTGAGCCCGATGCCCATTCAGTAGGCCCGGACATGGACAAGGTAGGTATAGGTGTGCCTGTATATCTGGCCAACTCAGTTCCAGCTCTTGCCCCAACTTACCACCCAATAAGCCACCAGCGCTCCCTGTAGAAAGCCAACAGCCACGTCGGAGGGGTGATGCCTGTGGTCAGATATGCGGGTGAATCCGGTATATAAAGCCACGAGGATCAATACGAACTGTACCAAGGGACGCAAGAGACGGGCCCCACTCCACGTCATCCGTGCCTGCAGATAAAACTGGAAAGGACACAAGGTATTAGTGACTATCTTTCAGTACGGAGGGGCAAAAAGGAATAACATTGTACTACGCATGATCACTTATAACCAATTCAGTGTCCATTCACTGCAGGCAAGCCAGAGAAAGAGAAATGGCAATGAGTTCCTATGGATTGTTGCACTTTGATGACGTCACCGAAGTTTAACTGCCAGCGGCCATCTTGGCGATGGACGACGGCCAAGAGAGGATTGCACGTTCACCCGGGGTATACCATAGGGTCCCCTCCTCTCTTGTGCAACTGTTGAGCTCTCTGCCCAACTTTTCAAAGGGGGTGACACCAAAATTATCAGCCATTTCGGTGTCACCCCCTCCGATGGTGTCACCCGGGGTGGGCCGCACCCCCCTTGTGACGCCAGTACCTTAGGCAATCAGGAAGGATTTTTCTCCCCTATTGAAGATTTTTGGACCGTGCTTTATTGGGGGTTTTGCCTTCCTCTGGATCAACTGGCCATAGGATTCTGTATATTTCTTCATAGGGTTGAACTCGATGAACTCTGTAACCTGCACCATATATAGGAAGTCAGATTCATCAGGTAAACAGAAAACTTCTATTGTGTTCACACAGATTGTGAAATATCCTGCGTGAGACATCGGTGCAGCAAAAGGAGACATCCGGGTATGAGATTCTGACTCACTTTGGCTTGTTCAGTGCCGTGTGTTATCAGGTTACTGGCTTGGCTTAGCATGAGGATGGGTTGGACCGGGGGGAGGCAACCTCAGCACTTCAGTTGCTGACCGTAAGCACCATGAGACATTGGCATGATGGGATTTGTAGGCTCTGACAGCCACAGGCATGACTACTAGAGGCAGGGGCATGATGGGATTTGTCAAGTAGTGGGCGGGCTCTTAGGAGGAGTTATGCAAATATCAAAATGCCTTGTTGAATGAATATCAGTCTGGAGGAGGGGGTGTACTTAGGTAAGCTGTATTTGCATGTAAAGCACCCTAGATAATGCCCCATGATTGGCAGAACTGAAATCCAATGAATGCCAGGGGCGGGCCAGGGACAGCCAGGCAGGGAAGGAAAGGGCTAGATGATGCAGAACGTCCTCCAGCCAGGAAATGAGGTGGGCTGTATCTGACTTGCTGCAGAGATAATCTGCTGAATGCAGTGTGATTGCTTTATCAGACCAGCGCAGGGGAAGTTCAATGAGTCACCCGGGATCAGTCTCTGGCTGCATCATGAGAGGAGAATATTGCAGTATTTCTCTCCTTATCAAATACAGATTGTCACCGGCTGAGGAGCTGCAGAACCCAATCCAAAACCCCTAACCACCGAAACCAATCCTCTGCCTGGTGCACAGTGCCAGGCTCCCGGTCACATTTCCCCTTATACAGAGTCACATGATCTAGACATTGTGCATGGTCACGATGTGTAGACTCACCGACAGATAGAGCATGGAGTACATGGCAAAAGACGCGTGACCCGAATAGAACGATTTCCTGAAACACACAAGGGTCAAAATATTAAATAGATAGATAGATAGATAGATAGATAGATAGATAGATAGACAGACATCAGTTGCTCGGGTTGCTTTGTGTGTGGTCGGTATACGTTTAGGAAGCGAAATCCAAGAAATAAAAGTATCAAACAAACACAGAAAAGTAATACAAAGAATAACGATATAGAAATCCTCTACAATTTCCTGTCATTCTGATACTTTCTTCTACCTCCATCTTCCTGAGAAATGGGGCCCGTGTGACAGTGCTGAGTATCTGTGCATAGATTGTTCTTTCACAGTGTGTGACTCTACGTGACTTCTCCTCCCATCGTGTACCATCATCTACATCTTCATGTATGTTGTATGAGCTGACATTACCCAACACTCTCCAATGCCTCCTACAAGCCTGACTTCTGTGTCTGTAGTACTAAACGAAAGAAGAAAGTGAGGAGGTGTATAGAAGGATAGGGGAGAGAGAGAGAGAGAGAGAAGAGAGGAGAGGAGAGAAGGAGAGAGAAAAGAGAGAGAGAGAGAGAGAAGAGAGGAGAGAAGGAGAGAGAAAAGAGAGAGAGAAAAGAGGGAGAGAGGAGAGAGAAAGACGAGAGGAGGGAGAGAAAGAGAAAAAAAAGAGAGGAGAGAGAAAGGGGAGAGAGAGAGAGATATGGAGAGGGGGAGAGATGAAGATATATATATATGGAGAGAGAGAGAGAAGAGAGGAGGAAGAGAGAGAGAGAAGGAGAGAGAAGAGAGAGAGAGGGAGGGAGAGGAGAAAGAGAGAGAGAAAAGAGGGAGAGAGGAGAGAGAAAGAGGAGAGGAAAGAGAGAAAAAAGAGAGGAGAGAGACAGGGGAGAGAGAGATATGGAGAGGGGGAGAGATGAAGATATATATATGGAGAGAGAGAGAGAGGAAAGAGAAAAGGAGAGGAAGAGAGAGAGAGAAGGAGAGATAGAGGTAGAGAGGGGGAGAGATGGAGAGAGAGATGAAGATATATATATATATATAGAGAGAGAGAGGGGAGAGGAGAGAGAAAAGAGAAAAGAGAAAGGGGAGAGAGAACGGGGAGATGAAAGAGAGCGAGAGAGAGAGAGAGAGAGAGAGATCTCCTGGCAAGGCATGGGGGCAGGAAGCTGATGTCAGGACACATTCAGATCTTTAGATTATTTCAGTTCGGCTTTAATCGATTATTTTGGGAATATTTATCATAAAAATAGAAGAATAAAGTTCTCCCGTGCAGCTCTTTCCTTCCATCTCCTCGTCTCCTCTCCTGTACTCTGCTTCTAATCAGCATTACCGGCAGCACAGGCCGGAGGCAGGAAATACATTCGCCTACCATCATACTTCTCCCTCCATCTCTCTCTGACTCATACAGCATTGAAGAATCTCCGTCTGATAAAGCCAGAATCACTCAGCACAGGAACTTCTCTCAGCTTCTTTCACAGAGACAGTGGCAAATCAAGCAAGTTTACAAATATAACTGTTTTATGTGTTTCTTTCCCCTGCCATCTCCTGAGAGTTCTACTACAACTCTCAACCAATTGACTCCGGTGAGATCTCCTAAAGGTAGGCTTAGGTTGTCTTGTGTTATATAGTGGGATGGACTCAATGATCGAGTCGAGGAAGAGCAGACTGCCTTTTAAAGCCCTGATTGGTTAAAGCCTTTGCCCAATCATGGCTCCCCTGTCTGGTGCCATACAAACTTAAACAGTTGGGAGGAGCTAACTGTCACTGTTAGCCCCGCCCAATTGTTTATACTTTGCCGGCATCTGTCAGAATGTCATAATCTCCATCTCTCCCCCTCTCCATCTATCTCTCTCTTTCTCTCTATCCAAAAATAAAAAAAGGTATTGATAAAATTGAGCATTTAGACCAGGGGGTAGGCAACTTTGGCACTCCAGCTGTGAGAGCAACTACAAATCCCATTATGCCTCCAGGAGTCATGCCTGTGGGCTGTCTTGCAATGCCTCATGGGTTCTTGTAGTTCCCCAACAGCTGGAAGGCTGAGGTTGGCCCCCCTCTGATTGGAATTCCCCTCCTTTGTCTCGGTTCTAATGAAGACCACATTTTAAAAGCACGCCACCAAAAAAAATCAAGAGAAAAGTGAAAACGTTTTTAATGGGGCAGCATTCTGACTTTACTATCACATGGTGCGGAGCGATGTGGTCGCGGCACACATAATGGGAGGGAGCGGCTTTCCTTCTTTCTCTGGAATCTCTCTCCTTTGGGGGGATTACGTTCTATCGATGCAAGATGTCAGCTGCAAATACCTCGTTGTTCTCCGCGGACTGAACACTGGCGTGTGTGTGTTTTATAGGACAAAGGCATCACTGTCATTATGGGCTATGGGCAATCTCTGCTAGCACAATGCACAGAGTCAGGTCCATTCTACTCCGCATTCCAACTTCCCTTTCCTCCGCCACTGTTACTCTTCCACTATTTGTATTTTATTATGTGGACCTGGCACCAGATGTATATGTATATATACTGTACAATCAGATTGTAAACCTTAAGGCGGGCCATGCACCCTGCAATGGGGTCCTCAATCAGGCTGTAAGAAAGGGAGGGAAGGAGCGCAACTGACTGCCACAGACTTTGTTGGGGTGGATGGACCAGGGAAAGGGATCAGGTGAAGGTGAAGGTGGGTGGGAATGAGAGATGGGCACTCACATGTGATGAGATGGATGGCACACAGGTGATGGGTTCCTGGTGATGTCGTGATCTTTGGATCATCCGAGTTTGCTGCGTCTGAGTGAGTGCCCATCTCTCATTCCCACCCACCTTCACCACTGCCTCTCCCTGGTCCATCCACCCCCACAAAGTCTGTGCCAGTCAGTTGTGCTCCTTCCCTCCCTTTCTTTCCGTTCATTAGTACACAGTTAGACCCCCCCCCCCAGGAGTGCGCTACCAATCAGTCTTCATTTTCCAACTTTCTCAATCAGGCTGTAAAGCTTTACGCAAACCATACACCTTACAATGGGATCCACAATCAGACTGTAAACCTTTAGGCAAGCCATTCACCTTACAATGGCTTTGTGCAGTCAGATTGTACATCTTTAGGCCGGCCATGCACCTTGAAATGAGATTATACCATCAGTTTGTGAACCTTCAAGCCGGCCATGCACCCTGCAATGGGATCCTCGATCAGACTATACACTGTAAACCTTTAGGCAAGCCATTCACCTTACAATGGCATTGTACAATCAGATAGTACATCTTTAGGCTGGCCATGCACCTTAAAATAGGATCGTACAATCAGATTGTAAACCTTTAGGCCGGCCATGCACCTTACAATGGGATTGTACAATCACACTGTATACCTTTTAGGTAAGCCATACACCTTACAATACGATTGCACAATCCGCTTTAACGTTTATCAGTAGGATGATTGTAAATAATGTTTATATTTCCTCACCTGGCCTCTGTGACAGCGCTGGGGTTTCCTGTGCACGTATAATCCTCTACGAATCCTGCCGTACAGTTCAGCGCCGTGGGTTGGCACACGGCTAGGAAGTGCGGCCTCAGGCGACCTGCGCTCAGCTTGGCGGCATTAGTCAGCGACTGGCCGAGGGCCGAGCCAAACAAGAAGGGAAGAATCTGCCGGTAGATGCTGGACAAGTATCCCTCTCTGGGGCCCGACTCCGACCTGCGCTGCTTGTTGACCCGGTGACATTCCCCCAGGACGATCTGCCGAGGCGGAAAAAAAACATCATGAGATCCCCCCGCAATGGCCGCCGGCCAATATCGTATAAACAGCCACTCGAGTGTTTCATAGAAAGAGGAAACAGAGTGTCACTGAACAATATCAGCCATTGTGTCCTTTTCTAATAATAAAGACCTGCTTACAGTCAGGGCTGATGGGAATGTTTATTTGTGGCACATGACCAAACAATATGGCCGCCTTTTGGCTAAGGCTCCGCTCGCCCCTCTGTGTGTCGTTCACATGGTACGGCTATGGGGGTCACCACCAGCCCAACAGATGGCCCAGTTTCCAAAAGTCCGATTTGCCAAGAAATCACAGCTCACCACCGAAATTATTTTTAAGGATTATTAAGGATGAGCGAAATGGAGCGTTTTCATTTCCCCAAAATATAAACAACGTGAAAGAGGGTGGACTACAGTCTACAAATACTCATCTCCACTCCAGCCATGTTGGCAAGCTCCCTCACCACACTGACGCCTCCCCCCACCCCCCTGCTTTTTATGGGAGTGCAGGATGACGTCACTCAAGCACACAAAATGCATCCCGGCCCCCATCAGATGCAGAAATTATATACTGAGCTATGCATGAATACAGTGTAAGGAAGATCCCAAGGAGGAAGGTAATAATATTCTATTGCAGAGGAGTCATAGGCGCTTATTCGTCCAGCGAAACTGCAGATACATTCGTTCTGAGCCAGCTGACCAGCTGCTGCAGGAATGACACAAAAACAAATGTTCTTTATTTCATTTCTCTTCTGGAAGTATGTTTTAAAAATATCATGGGCAATAGTGAATCAGAAGAATATTGCATGACATTTATTATATATTTAATATGGCCGATAGATGGAGCTGATGATCATCGGAAATAAATACACGTTAGTAAAAATATACAATGTTATAATTTGAAATGGGTATATATGGGTTGGACTTGATGGACGTATGTCTTTATTCAACCCCAAATACTATGTAACTATGTAACTATGAAATAATGCTGGAGGGAAGGAACATATAAATGTCACCATTGCTATCCCTGTAGTATCAAGGGTTACATTTACATTCTCATTCCTGTCTCTTAAAGGAGAACTATGAGGTGATTGCTTTTCACTCCTCCTCATAGTTCTAGCTGACCTGTGACAATGAGACTGTCACAGGTCGGCTCAGTAGATCGGGAAGTGAGCGAACACATACCAGCGTTCGCTCACTTCTCGATCCTGTCACGGCAGAGAGCCGTGACAGGGGAGGGCCTGGATCCCCCCCTCCCCGCTCCGATCCTCCAGCACTGACTGGCGGAACGGACTGGGGAGGGGGCGGGTACAGCTGGCTCTGCCTCTAGATAGGCAGAGCCAACTGTCACTCACGCAGCTGGGCGGATCCAGACATAATTGTTGGGATCCTTACCGGCTGCGGCGTCTCAGTATACCGCGAGCTACTGCGCTTAGGGTGATGGGAGGACGCTAGTTAGTGTCCTCGCGTTACCCTTAGGAGAACTATGGGGAAAAGCCCTAACCCCATATTTCTCCTTTGAAGTGACACTAGACTCGGGAGTTAAATCCTAAAAATACCTTCAAGTACCTTAACTATGAACAGAAATGTATGTTATTTGTGTATCACTCGGCTGTAGATCCTCAAATCATCTCTGAATTGGTGCTGACACTGTCCTTCCTTCTGGAGGGGAGCTACTTTTGTTCCCCATGGTCCCCGTGTGTGTTGTAAAGTAGTCACCGCTCCAAACTCGCTGCCGTCATGGACTACAATCTCACGTTTAGTTTACTCATTTGTATTGAGATTGTAGTCCATCCAGGCAGCGAGCTTGGAGCAGTGACTACTTTACAACACACACAGGGACCATGGGGAAGAAAAGTAGCCCCCCTCCAGAAGGAAGGACAGTGTCAGCACCAATTCAGAGATGATTTGAGGATCTACAGCCGAGTGATACACAAATAAGATACATTGCTGTTCATAGTTAAGGTACTTGAAGGTATTTTTAAGATTTAACTCCTAAATTTAGTGTTAGTTTAAGGTGTAACATTGTATCTCATTACTAACATATACTTATTTACTATCATCCTCATCGACATCTGGTGACCATAATGTGGTATTTCCCCATTCCGTCTGTTATGTATGAATTAATCTGTTGGAGAACATTCGACCAGAAGGGAAATGACACTGAAGACATTTGATTTTACTCCAATTCTCACATTCTCTTCTGCGATAAATGTGTCTTATCTGACTGACAGGTCTGGAGGAAAACAGGTTTAACATGGAAAGGGTTCTTTACTGTAAGAGATGAGAAAATGTGAACTAGACCACCACAGGGGGGAGGGGGGGTTGGCTACTTCGAGCCAACGCTGTAGATTTTTTTTTTTTTGAAGCTGGAAGTGTTTCTAAATGTACAAAATGTAACTATTAATAGTCATAAAAATTAACGGATAGATCTATAGAAAAGAAAGAAAGAAAGAAAGTAAAAAGGAGTGAGGAAGAAGGAGAGAGTAGGAGAAAGAAAGAAAGAAAGAAAGAAAGAAAGAAAGAAAGAAAGAAAGAAAGAAAGAAAGAAAGAAAGAAAGAAAGAAAGAAAGAAAGAAAGAAAGAAAAAAGGAGAGAGGAAGAAGGAGAGAGTAGGAGAAAGAAAGAAAGAAAGAAAGAAAGAAAGGAGAGAGTAGGAAAAAGAAAGAAGAAGGGAAGAGACAGCCAACAGAGTGAGATACAATGACGGGTAACTGTCACATGACATGATGTAGATTGGTGGTGCCATAGACATCTGCCTGCTTTGCCTGCATGTGAACAGAGAGCTCTGCCCATTGGATACTTACACCGACTCCAGTGATGAGGATACCCACGCTGATCAGCATGGTGTCGCTCACTGTCTCCTCTCTCGTCGCCGGAAAGCGGATGCTGTTGTCGTCGCAGAAGAATCCTCGATGGACCGGTGCGATCAATCCCAGCTCACAGATCAGGAACGGTGTGGACACTGTAAAGGAGAAGTAGGGCATCAGTGGTTGGTAGATCTAAGGAAGATTGTACAATCGGATTGGTTGGTGATTTTACTCCTTACTCTTCGAATATTTCACAATGCACTGGGATGGAGTTCATGCCTGACAAGCAGAACTGTCACATCTTGTCTCAAGTGACTGCGTTGGCCAATCAAGGGTGTCCCTTTACCAGCAAACTTCCCCCATTCATTAGGGGAATTTACACATCTCGGCGCTCTCTGATACTTGGCATTGTGACTCATTTGTAGAGTAAATATCACCAAATAGCAAACTTGGCAAAAAAATGACTTGAGCTGTGTTAGGATCTTCCAGTCCAGCTTTTTCTACATGAGAGTGCCCTTCTGTGTGTAGAAGCATGTTGAAGGGAAGAGGAAAGAAGGAGTCTTTTTGTCATGTTTAATGCTGCTTCCAATGAATCCTGCGCTATCTCATGCTGAAAATACTTGTTCCCTGGCTGTCATTATGATAGAAGAGATGGCAGAAAAAGACCAAATGGTCCACCAAGTTTGTCCCTTTTTGAAACCATTTTGTCTCAGTATAGATCTATGGTTATCACTCACCGTTGCTTGACTCACTAGCTCTGCTGTTCCAAACATCAACTACTCTTTTTTGTCAAATTATACTTTCTAAGGTTAGTTATGAACTTTCGCCAGATTGGACCTCATTCCTCCTGCTGGAGATCCCTCTACTGATAACTAAAGATCTATATAAAGGGATCAGGACCTCCTTCCTCCTGCTGGAGATCCCTCTAGCGATAACTAACGATCTATATAAAGGGATCAGGACCTCCTTCCTCCTGTTGGGGATCCCTCTAGTGATAACTAAAGCTCTATATAGAGGGATCAGGACCTCCTTCCTCCTGTTGGGGATCCCTCTAGTGATAACTAAAGCTCTATATAGAGGAATCAGGACCTCCTTCCTTCTGTTGGGGATCCCTCTAGTGATAACTAAAGCTCTATATAGAGGAATCAGGACCTCCTTCCTCCTGCTGGGGATCCCTCTAGTGATAACTAAAGATCTATATAGGGGAATCAGGACCTCCTTCCTCTTGCTGGGAATCCTCTAGTGATATATAAAGATCTATATAGAGGAATCAGGACCCCCTTCCTCCTGCTGGAGATCCCTCTAGTTATAACTAAAGATCTATATAAAGGAATTAGGACCTCCTTCTTCCTGCTGGTGATCCCTCTAGTGATCGCCGAATAGATATTTACCGGTAGTTATCTTTAGAGAGATCCCCAGCAGGTGGAAGGGGGTCCTGATTCCCTTCCGCTCTATAAATCGTTGGTTATCACTAGATGGATCCCTAGCAGAAAGAAGGAGGTCCTGATTCCTCTATATAGATCTTTAATTGTTACTAGAGGGATCCCCAGCAGGAAGAAGGAGGTCCTGATTCCTTCATATAGATATTTAGTTATCAGTAGATGGATCTCCAGCAGGCAGAAGGAGAACCGGGTTCCCCTTTAGATATTTAGTTATCACTAGATGCACCCCAGCCAGAGGAAGGAGGTCCTAATTCCTTTATATAGATATGTATTTATCAATAGAGGGGCCTAAGAAAGGATTAAAATGAGATGCTGGATATGAATATATCCCTGATATATAATACAAGAAGTTCTTAAAAAACCAAAGGGCTTGCGGTCAGCAGCTCTTCACAAAACAGGGGCCCCTCTCAGAAGAAAGAGGTCCCCCAGTTTGAGAAATCCATATGTTTTTCAACCAAAGAGGGTGACAAAAAAAGAGTTCTTAGAGTTCTTGAGTGTTCTGCTCTCACACAGGGCCCTTTCTTAAATTATTATTCCCCTGGTTTGGTCTGAATTTTTCCGTAGCTATGCTCTGGGTTCAGCATATATCTAGTTGAGTTAAAAGCCCCAATAAAGGGGGATTGCTGAGCCCCTGAAACACCTTGGTTACCTTGTGTTTGCTCTTGTTTTCATTTGTAAACTCAATACAATACCATTCTGGCCTCTAAGAACTCTTGCAGGCGCCCTCTTTGGTTCAAATGCATTTTGACTAAAATAGCGTCTTTGCGAACCAATAGTGAAGTGTAGGGGGCAGGAGAGGGCTGGTCAGAGCCAGCGACCACAGAAGCTGTCACTGACCATGACCTTCTAGAAAGCAGACCTGGTGTACAGAGGCCTTGATAGGCTACGATACAGGGTACACATTTATCTTGACAGCCAATAAGTGGTGTCCCTAGCCTCAAATGTGTTCAACAATACAGGCAGTTATAGATTATGGATTGTATTTCATATCAACCCTCCGAGTGGGACTTCAGAACATATACGAAGGCCATGGCATGCTTCCAACTGATCATTCTAATGGGATCAGAGCCAGCTATTATTATACTGCTGACAACACAGAATATATGAGTAGTGGTGAGCTCAATCAAGCTGGTCATCCATTGGCCAGTATTTTTATCAGAATATTGCAGTATATGTATACCTCCGGGCTAGAAAATCTTTGCTACACTTTTCATCTGTAGACAATCAGGTCTATTCACTATAATGACCGAAGGAGCAAAATACTAAGCACAGAATGCGATACCTGTACCAGCCAATAACAATTAAAGGTATACTGGAGGATTGAATGTCAAATTTGCAAGTCGTGGGTTATTTTGCACTGAAACTGAGCGCACACCTTACAATCTGACCGTACGATCTTGTTTAGATCTACCAACAACTATGGCGTGTAGGACTTGCCTGATGAGCTGAATCGAGGCCGGGCCGAGGTGTAGGCAGAAAAGGCAGCTGCCTTAGGCTCTTCAGCAAAAGAGGGGCCCACAATGGATTGGAACTGCAACCTATGTTGCTGAAGTAGTTCACAGGTGGAGGTGGCCTTTTTCTCTTGGGTGCCAAAGGACCTTCTCAGAGCACTAAGCTGAATGAACAGTTTAGGTAGGTCCTCATGTTGAAACAGAGGTTGTACCATTGGATCAGATTGTAATGTGTATAGCCAGCTTAAGCACTGTGTGTCTTGTACTGTGTAATTGAGGAGGATGGACTAAAGGAGTAGAAATCTCACTACAGGTGCACATAGGCAGTAGATTGCCATCTCTTGATCTACGAGGCACAACTGACCCAATTGAGGGGAATCAAGGGAAGGGACTGGTTAGTAAATCTCATTTGTGCAGTGACAGCTCCCTTCCTTTCTCCATCCCCGACTACAGCGCTTCAGTTTATGGGAAAAAGTCAAGAAGACATTATAAGATTATCATCGTGCATACCCATGCAACCATCTCTCCCACCACCGTTACCCCCAATGAACTTACATTTACTACCTGGTCTTATGGCAGAGAACTTGAATAAACATGCCTGGTTGCAATGAACACAACTTGACTGGACTAGGTAAACCTTCTACTCCTTTAGCAAATCACTCCCATTGTCCCCTCCTCTGCGCCACCTTATCAGAACATTCAACTTATCTCAACGAGAGGTGCCAACTTACCCACAAGCAGGCACAGCAGATCCAGCAATATCAACGACTTCTTGGATCCCCTGGAGACATTGGTCTTGGTCTCCCTGCGGACGCAGTGGCCCCCCACCGTCACCTTGAGGACCCTGGGGTCAGGGCACCAATCTGGAGCTCCGCCGGGGGTGAGATGCATGTTTTCAGCAGCAGCAGGCGAAAGGAACTACGATCCGAAGGGTGACTCGGTCTATATCTGCTTCTGCGGTCGTCTGCGGTCACCCTGCTCTTGGCTGTGGCTGCCCTTGAGTATCTGTCACCTACAGCTCCCGCCTGCAGCCCTCACTAGAGTGACTTGAAAGTTTGCAAGAGAAAGTTAAAGGGAGAGGAAGAGGAGGTGGAGCTGACGGCAGTGCACGGATGAAGGAGGGGAGGAGGTGGAGGGGGGGAAAAGGGTGAGACAGACTATGGAAGGAAGCAGAGGAAAGGGAGATAGCTGCAGAGGAAAAAAGAATAATGCAGCTGTAATCTGAGCTGCGAGTGGTCCACACCCTATAATTCATCGTCCTGGGACCCTGCAATCTCCGAGTGTCCCATGTATAACCCTGCCATATGTCCTTCTGGTGGAAAGTGAACTCAGGAACTCACCCAGCTATGCCACCTCGTGACCAATCAAGCATTTAAGACATCCTACCCACTGACAGGTGTCGCTCGTAACATCGGTCACATGCTTCATAAACGCTAAGTGTGCGCTTACTGCAGAGGGTGCAAAGTTTTAGGGGTGAATCAAGGTAGAAGATACTTGCGCAGCCAATGGCCTTTTAAAGAGCACCTGCCGTAAATAGGGATTGAGTCAAAAATTTTGCAGAATTTTGTCAGTTATCATGAGCTTTGGGTGAAAATTTGCCCTGATGGGTGAAAGCAAAATAAAGGCGCATTGGGGCATTTTTTTAAGTGTGCGGTGGGCTTTAGTTGGGGAAGTTCCTTATAACTATCCTGGCACTGTTTTATGCCAAAAAGCAATTTTTAGGCTCAATATTTAAAGCTGAACTCCAGGCAGTTATTTACAAATGTCTGGAGTTATCCATTAATGGATCAATAATTGTATTTTATAAATACAAGCAGTGTAAGTACCTGAATCTGACCTGGTATCTGCCTCTTCCAGTTCCTCTACAGCAGCGCTGGAGTAAGAGAGAAAGAAGCAGTACAAGGAGCCAATCAGTTCATGTGCTGACAAGAAGCATGCTGATAGGAAGAAAGAGCAAAGTGGCAGAGAGGTGACCTCATCACTGTGCGTCTTCTCCTTTCACCGTCCCATCACAGGCTGGGGGTGGGTCCATAGAAGTGGATTGAATGATACTGGACATCAGACTGAGGACATCTAGTGGCAGAAGATAAACACTGCGGGGGAGATCTCTGGATTGAAGCTGAATATTGCAGCAAAAGGCGTTTTTCTTATTTTATATTTTATTGGGCTGTTCATTTTAACCTTGATATTTTGGCTGGAGTTTTGCTTCTCTTTTTTTTTACAGAATGAAACTAAAGACAGCAAAAAAAAAAGTAACATAAAACATTTAAAGTGACAAGACACAAAATCACTGAGATGGAATAAACAGGTAGGTCTTTCCGAACAAAAGTTTTTGTCATTCAGTTCAGCCAGTCTTTTGGTCCAGACACCCCTGCCAGTCAGCGCAGCCAGATCAATTACCTCTACTACAGTTGAGAGATGCACCTTTTCACTGACCTGCCTCCCTAACCTCATGATTGGACAAAGAAGGAGCATCAAAGCACTGATAATCATCGCTCTGTTCTCTCCATGTGTCAGCAAGCTCTCAGGGTTAGATTGACAGCAATAAGCAATGCGACAGAACTGGATGACTCGGAGTGCTTCTCTCTTCCAGTCCCGCTGTGCAGGGGCCAGGATGATAATAAAATTAGGGTATTGAGACTTAGCCCTCATTCAGACTGTAATCGGCCCGCACTTACAGCTCTGTGCTGCGTGCACGGCCGTATCGAGCAGCTCCCGGGAAGGACAGGCGCTGCGTGTGATTAGTACGCAGCCCCTCTCCTTCTCTATGGGACTACGAAGCCGTACACCCCCCAACGCTCACCCGCCCTGCATGTCCGTGTGGGTGCGGGTGAGCGTACTCATACGATGACAGGATAGATCCTGTCTGCGTCTGAGCCAGGAAACACGCACCCCTGCGGACCTGCACTTGACGTGAGCGTAGGGCTGCGTATGGCCATGTACTCCCATAGAGAAGGACAGGGGATGCGTACTAATCACACGCAGCACCTGTCCTTCCCTGGAGCTGCTCGATACAGCCGTGCACGCAGCACAGAGCTGTACGTGCGGGCCGATTACAGTGGGAATGAGGCCTTAGTGTAGTCAAATTACATTAACTTTTCCAAAATAATGAGAAATAAATTGCCCAATGGGTATAAAGCAAAACAAATCCAGCTTTTGCTGCAATACTTGCCTTCTCACCAGAACTGCACACACACGCACAAACTCACCTCTCCATGGTCCAGTGCCAGTCCTCAGGTTGATTGATGCCCAATGTCACTCAACCCACTTCCTGTGAGCCCAGGCTGTCATGGACACAACCCCTGGAGGAAAGTCATCATGCCGGGCTGGGCTCACGGTGTATTGCTGCACAGAACGGCAGTTGCATGTCACTATGGCACATGTCACTAACAGTAAGCTTCACCCATTGTCAAACCCAGATAAAGTGGACCCTGTCTTGTGACCAGCTGGAAGATATTTTTAATTATAATATGTATGCAGTATATTTTTTAATACATGGAGCAGGAGGGGGTACAGTTGGGGGGTTGTAGGGTACAGGGGAGAAACATTGAATAAAATGTATTAATTTTTTTAAACTTTGACAGCTATGTGGACCTATGCTGTGAATAAAAATAGGCAATCCCTTTCTATGTGTGTGTGTGGCATTAGATTGTCAGCTCTTTGGGTGCAGCAAATGATGTTAGAAGTTCATGTATTTTATTATTAATGAATCATTCTACAGCACTCTAAAGTCAATTGATTTTCACTAAAGGATCCTGGACTGTACCCGTCGGGTATCCTGACAGCCGGAACCTGCAATAGCCAACAGAGGAGATTCCGCCATCCATACACTTTAGCTTATAGAGTGATTTTTCTCATTCAGTCCACGGGGTTCAACAAGAAAGATCTTGTAAGGTATGGCCAACTTTAGGCAACCATTCCTCTTATTGATGATGTAGTGTGTGGTCATGTGGGCACCATGCTATCATTACATAGAGCCCCTTATTTAGATGTAGTGTGTGGTCATGTGAGCACCATGCTATCATTACAGGGAGCCCCTTATTTAGATGTAGTGTGTGGTCATGTGAGCACCATGCTATCATTACATAGAGCCCCTTATTTAGTTGTAGTGTGTGGTCATGTGGGCACCATGCTATCATAACATAGAGCCCCTTATTTAGATGTAGTGTGTGGTCATGTGGGCACCATGCTATCATAACATAGAGCCCCTTATTTGGACTTTAGTTAGTCAATGAAGATGAGTCGGGCACCCAGGCCCATTGAGAGAGCCGTGCGGTGGAACCTTTTGGGAGGACCTACTACTACCAGAATCTACTGCCAGAACTCAAAATATAGAGCAGAATGTTGGTTTGGACAAGCCGGATCGCTAGTGAAGTGATCCCAAGTATACTTTGCAAATATTGGGATTTCTATGAGCAACTTTTGTCCTACAGCCACTGGAAACATCAGTAGAACATTGAAGAGCAATTGGATCAATTTTAAAGTGCAGCTATACTTTCTCCCATGCAAAGCAACAAGTTCACTTTAAGTGGCTCCTTCTCCAGTTGTACATGCCTCCCTTTATTTGGTCTCCATACAGTCACAATCAGTAAAGAGAAGAAACCCTGTCCAAGCTCCAAATTTCTCTTCCCGACCCCATGTTGCAGTGTTGAGTGCTTGTGGGGCCATTCACCAAGTACCAGTGCTGCCACATGGGTTAAAAGGGAGGGAGTCACATTCACCCTACATGGGCATAAGCACAGGTTCTCTTTAACAATTAAACTCTTAGATACCATGATGGAATTGTCATATATCACTTCAGAATTCTAAGACGGTATCTTAGAGTTTAGATATCAATGTTTATTTTCTGTCTTAAATTTTTGCTGATTTATTTTGTTGCTGAACTTGACGTGTGGTGAGGCAGAAGGATACGTATCCGGATGGATGGGAGAACAGGCGAGGCGGAGACACTGTGGAGTGTCACGGGGGGCATCCTTCCTGCTGTTTCCTATCCACCAGGGAAGAGGATATACACTACGGGAAAACACTGGGACCTCCGCCTTTTTCCCACAGCCACTGCGTACAGGCGAGCAGCAAAAATAGACTTAGATAGATTCAAAACAATAATAAAGCCTAAGGAGACCTTGAGCATAAAATTAGATTTAATCCAGTGGGATATGACCACAAGTTTGGCAAACTTTATACACAAATATGAATGCTAGAATCTGAAATATTTCATTAAAGAAAACCAGTCATCAGTAGACATTTGTAGTAATTCAGATCTCCACTCTTGTGTTGTTGTAACAATCCAGCCTTACATCTCCGGGATTGCTGTTTGACCTGTATTCTCTCCCTTTCTTAGCAGATGGTGCCCCCTTAGAATTGGGCTGACAGGCTGTATTATCTATTGACAAGGCTCAGTGCTGATAACGGACAGCATGGCTTTGCTAGGGTCCCAAAGGTCTCTGGAAACCTTTAGGCAAAAGCTGATGCAATTGTTTCTTGTCCCACGTCATCGCTTCTCTCCCCCTTTTCTTTTCTCATTGATGTCTTCACTCTTCTTGGTTTCTTTGCCCTTTCTTACGACTCATCCAGGCTATAGGTATTTAGGAAAATTCACAATAATACATTAAAATGGCACTCCTTCCAGCAATCCTTGAATTGTGTTTCCCTAATGAGAGCTGAAATCCAAGTCAACAGCTACATACACATGTAGCGCCTTTCCGGCGTTGTGTTGATAAGCCAGTTCCTGTGTTGAGGCCTACTGTTGATTTCCAGTGATGGAAGTTCAGATATCCCAGTCCATTGCTCCGGCTCCACAATCTGCAGCCAATAGGCCATGTCAGGAAGCTGACACACACTTGTAACACAGTTATACAGGTCCCCAGATCCTGTGGTTGCAGGCCAGGTCTGTTTGGGGTCATGTGCTGCAAGGCAAATAGGCCATGTCAAG